AAAAAAAAAACAAAATGCCAGAAATATCTGTCTTTGCCAAAAGGCACCAGTTGTCATGGTCAATCAGTCACGCTCTCCCCCAATTTTCTGTTCCCTTTTAGTTCCCTTGATATTTACACATGTTCTGTCTGAGTCATTAAAACTTATGGTCTGTAACGTGACTAATACTCTGAGGATATTTAATAATTACCATGTACTTCATTTGCTCATATACTCCCCCTACTCTCACCCCTAAAAATACCTTGTACTGCTCCACCCAGGGATAAAAACAGACCCTAACATCCACCCACAATTCTCCTTTAAAGGATCCATTGTGGCTTTGTTAATTATACTGACCTCATCAGGAGCAGTTCTCTGGCCATCAAATGAGCGTGAAGATGCAAGATGGATAAGGAGTCAGCCATCACCAAGATTCCAGGAAGAACAGAAGGATGGCAGTACCTCATCCAACCACTCTAGTGACCCATAGAGAATATCTACCACCACCCCTGCCCGTCTGTTGATGAAAACTGATTATGTGAAACTCTTTTGGAGGCTTCCATCAAGAAAATCCTCAACTCTGAGCAAAAAGAGGCAAGATGAGAGATCAAGGCCAATAAGATCCAGATTAGAATATTTGCCAGTTCACCCCACAGAACCAATTCTGCCCTGATCATAAAACACAAAATCATAGTCAACTTCTCAGCAACGTATGGTCGCTCATATTTCACATCTGTCTACAGTTTTTGAGCTGCCAATGAAAAGCAAGTCAAAATAAACAAAACTCAAAGATGAATGTGGAGAGTAAACTCAACTGAAATTGCTGATTCAAGTCATAAGAATTTTAATAAAATTGGTCTGCAGTTTTCAGAGGAAGATAAAGATATTACTAAAATGATATAATTTAAAGTAGATTCCTTTCTCTTATCTGGTTATCAAATACCTTCCTGCTACCAGGTAAAGCAGATTAATATACAGCATTCTAAAGCTGTAAAACTTAATAAACAATATCATGTAATTAAAGCCATGACATTGGTTTTAGCACACAAGATTCACAACTAAAGAAAAACTCCCAAGAAAGAGAGTCTAAGTTCAGTCTTTAGCTCTTTGTCCGAGAATGCCTGTTTTTCTGACAGTTCTCTTGAGGTTTCCAAGCATAAGTTCTACTTGGAGCATGAACTACACCATTTTTAACTTATGGAGACTTGTATTCAGACCCTTTCCTCAGTTATATAACCAAACACAGAACAGGTAACAATAACTTATTACCAAAAAAAAATATGAAAACTGAAGCATCTATATATTTTTAAGGTTTGTATTGTGGAGCAGACCGAATGGAAGGAGAATTGAAGCAAAGTTTCATGACTGCCTGAAGCTATCTACCAAACACACAGCTCTGTATTATACAAAAAAGTGCTGTTCTTCACACCAGGAGCCTAAATAAAACCACACGTTTCATTTTCCTTGTCTTTTACCCTCTCAAACCCACGTTTTATTATGGTCTATTGTGCTGTTATTTTAAACTCTGCATTAGATTGTAAGCTCCTTGAGGGCAACACCTGTTAGTCATTTTCAATCCTCTACACAGGGACTTCAACTTACCAGGTCAGGAAGATGTTGGCTGTCCTGGACCACGTAAACTAGAACAAATTACAACTGAACTATCTGCAGGAAGCTTGTCACAAAGATTCTTTCCTGAGAAACTCTCTTTAATATTTTAAACTTCATGTATTCTGGGTTGACCTACCCTCAGTACTCAGTACTAGTTTATTCCTTCCCCAAAACTCAACCAACCAAATACACAATATCTCTACATTTTCCTGAACGTAAATTATCTCTCAATAAACAAATTATTTTTTTAATTTACGTAGATAAAACTTCCATTATTTAGGTTTTGGAGAGAAATATTAACCCTTTAAGAAGTAGTCAATAGTTTGGTGAGAATCATTATAAAATGTTACGTGTTTCTTGTCTTCCAACAAGTGAAATAAGAATGTCGTTCAAAAAAGAGCTAATCGACTTTACTGCACCCTCTTCATGAGCCTATCTGCCTGAGGGAATCAAACCTCTCAGCTTTTCTTTCTGACTCAGAGTCACGGCTAGTAAGATCAGTTGCTACACTATGCTGGAGATGTGGCTATTATATTGGTTGGAAAACAAAGGCCCTGGAATATGCCTTCTTGAAAAAGTTTATTTCAGCCTTTTTGGTCATTTGCTTTTCTCTCATAAAATAAAAGCAGGATTCTTACTCCTAATTCACCCAGCCCCTTGCTTGAGAACTTTCCTGTGTCAGAAATACATTTAGCATGGTCTGCCCTCCTCCCAACACCTACAGAGGCAGGCTAACTCCCCTCACAACAGCCCCTATTTTCCAAAATGTGGTTGGCTCTGGATAGGCCTGTCTATTTGGACTATGGGAATTTCTGCCTAAATGCCTTTAGCTTGCACTGTTAGCTCAGTTTCTTCATGATAGCAATGTCCTCTTTCAGTGGCTCAATTCAGGTCCTAAATTTTCCACGTTGCATTACTAGAAATATTTCAGGTCACACAATCCTCCCTTTTCCAACTTAGAGATTCCATCTGGGAACTGCACAAAATATCCAACATGGGAAAACCAAGATCCAGAGTGACCTGCACAGGGTCACAAAGTCAACATTTCATGCAGCAATTCTCGACCCTGGGAGTCAGCAGAATCACTTGCGGAACAATCTAAATTATAGTTGTCCGGCTCAAATCCTTGTTTAAACATGAAAACAGTCTCCTCGACTACACTATAAGCTCCCTCAGGGACATGTTTTCAGATCTGCCCTGGCACCAAGGAGACTCAATGGCTGCTTATTGATTGCCCCTAGAGAACGAAAAATATAGAGGAGTGTCCTTTTAAAGTCAAATCCTCAGAAATAAAGAATGATGATTATCTATTGCAGAGTTTCAGCATTATTTATCTACTTTATTAGCCATGAACTTATCAGACTTGACCAGATTCAGAAATGGTTTTTTCTCACTCAAAGACTCCTAAAACCTGAATCCATCTATCTGTTTCTGTAGATTCAGTATAGACCCACCCAGGAGAACAAGTGGATTCTCGTAAAACTGCACCCAAATTTTGCCTAGTTAGCCCTGTGAAAGAACACACAAGGTTACAACATAACTTGGACTTCTCCACAGGGGAAGAAATCAAATCCTATAGTATTCATAACAACAAAAAGCATGTCTAGAGCTACCCGTATGCTGTGCACTGTACTTTGATATGAATGCAAAGGTAAGAACAACTCTCTGAATGATCTTGAAACATTGTTCTTTTTGTCAGGGGAATGATATAGCACTGGTCAATTATAATGTAATAATCCCATTTTCTCACAATTCCATTATTTCTCTATAATTGTTCTAGTAGGAATTCATTGTAACTTATGTTAAGTATAGAGAATAAATGTTTTTAAAAATGATTTAAACAAAGCCAAAGGAAAAAGAAAGAAGTGCCAGAAATGTTCTCTGTCCTGATCCGGGTGATGGCTACAGGCGCATATACATATGTAAAAGTTCACCGAGTGGCAGGCTTAAGGGTTGTGCACTTTTTTTGACTATAAATTATATCTTGATAAAAAGATTTTTTTAAAAAGGAGAAGAAGAAAAACAATGCAACTCCAAGACTGAGGGTAGTATTTAAGATTCCTTAAATCTTCTATTGTTCATTAAACATTTGTTGAGCACTTTGCTTTATTCCAGATGTAGTACAAGATGCTGAGGGTGAAATTATAATGATCAGGCCACCAGGACATAAGCATTTCAGTATAATGCACAAGGGCCGTGAAGCAAACAAGACGTTCCAAAGTCAGTTAACAGTTATAGTTACCTAAAGCTTTCTTTAAAAATAGCTCTGCATGTGGCAAATTTTCACAGAAAATAGATTTCACTTAATGATAAAACTAAACTCCCCTTCAAATCAAAACAATTTCTTTAAATACTTAGTGAAACAAGTTATTTAGAAAAATTCTGTTTGTTCAAAAGAAAATAATTTATTTAAATGCGAGGGAGAAACTATGGTAAAGATAACAATAACTGGTTAAACAAAAAAACAAAACAAAAAAACAAGATAACTAACAAACTCCAGGAAAATCTATCTCTGTTACCCAAAGTCACAAACATGTGAAAGCAAGAACAGAGAATCATAAGATAATTAAGCTAAGCCTGGAGCAGCCTGCATAAATTTTGACCAGGTACCAATGAAGGAGCATTTTCTCATCCCTGTTTTATTCCTATACCCTCACAACACATGCTTATGAACAACTCAATCCACTTCTCTCCAGAAAGAAGCGAAATTAATGAAGACTCTATCTGCCTCCATCCCCTACAAAATGGTAAGAGAAGTGGCCGGCAAAACCATTTTCTTCATAAATCTAGGATAGATAATCAGAAGGTCCACACAAATGGTCTCAGATCACGTAAGACAAGAATGCTGAGGGAGCATTTTACAGCTCAGATGAATGACCAAAACAAACAAGCCGCTTTACCTGTCGGCCTTCATCAGAAGGTTTGGTGGTAGATCCAGGAGCTGGTTGTGCTGCACATCCAAGACCTCCACTGAGGTTCTTTCTATCCTTTCAGGAAGCCTTGTCAACTGGTTGTGTCCTGCCAGTAGTTTCCGGAGACTACTATTACAAAATAAGCTGTGCAAAGAAGAGACCAAGACAAAATTACTTAGAGCTAATTTGGGATAAAGATTAAAAAATGAATAGGAATAGGAGAGTACTTAAAATTCTCTCTCCAAAAAACATAAATTCACGCAAAGCAACCGCAAATTCATTTTAACATAAGCTCAAACTTGGAGCTGTTTATATTTCAATACTTTCCATACTTTAAAAAAAAAAGAGTGGGAAAAACTATGAAAAGGGATATTCAACTAAGAAGCTTCACTTAGTGAAAGAAAAAAACAAGTTTCATAGGAGAAGATACTGAAAAGGGCCATCTCATCTTGTTAAACTAAGGCTGTAGGCTTCTCAAGGTAGAGCTATGTCTTGTATCGCCCTGGAAGGTGGGGTGGTTTACCCACAGTAGATTCTGAATAAATAAAGTTTTTTACCTACAGGATCAACATTAAATAAGAATTCTTCTATCAATTAAACTTTTATAAAGGCCAACTGATAAAATGCTACATTTTTTCTCAGTTGCATTTCATAATCATAATTATTTCTCCCTTTCATCACTTCCCTAAATCTGTATATTTTTGTTTGGTTTAATCCCAGACCAAAGCAGAGACTCTCTCCTAAAGAAAATATAAGGCACTTAATCCATGATTTTCTTTTGAACTTTAAAGAGCTGTTTGGAAGCTTGGGTGTTTTCTCTTATGGGTTATCAAAACTGCCACATATGATGAGTACTTGTTAATCTAATGTAAATCTGCTTTATGACTACTTGAGACTTCAACAGTTGTAGGGAACAAAACAGGCCCTGGGTTTAAACACAGAAATATGGGTGCTATAGAAAAGTGAGGTTGTAATTTGCATCAGGATCACTTTGGAGTAAATATTCATCTCCACTGCTATTAAAGAAGGAGTCTTCCTCATCCGCCTCCCGTTTTCCACCATTCTGACCTCACTCAATGACGTCCAAAGCTGTTAAAATCACTCTACATTACAGCCATACCTTTATTCACTTTAAATATCAAAACTAGGTTCTTTGCTCACAGAGACTCTAGCAACGTGTCTCAACGCTGTGACACCACAGGTCACCATTAACGATATTTGACATGCCTGACTTCACAGGTTTAGGTATCAATGTGACAAGACAGATTATCCAGGACTGCTATTCAGTCACAGTTATCACAGGGGGCAGTCTCTGTAACAGTCACCTCAACCCAGTAAGTCAGGATTTGGTTCACCAATTTTACTGTCTTGCTGGGCCTGGGGTATAATTTAGGATCCTTAGAGGGTGGAAAGGGGTTATCTATTATTTACACACACGAAAACACACACATACACTTTACCCTTAAGTAGATGGATAACCGAAAGACATGTGACAAAATCTTTATCTTGTTTCCAAATAAAAAAGTAGACTTGAGAACTACAGGATGAGTATTAAATGCTAATTATTGGATTTAGTTCAATTCTTTTGGATACTGTGTAAGCATTAAAATACTTTCTTTTCCTTTTAATACATTTCCACTTCTAAATATTAATTTCTGTTTTGTCAAACCCTTCACACATCACTTAGATAAACAAAGCCTGAATATTAAATCAACATCTAAGGAATCACTGCCTTGCCTGAATATTAGCTCAATGACAGGGCTGATACAAAGTTTGCAACTAAACAACACCATAAATGAGAAAACAATGCATATTGTTTTTGTCCCATGTGTTAAAAACACACACACACACAAACAAACACTGTTTAAATTTCCTGACAATAGAGCATTTCGGAATTGCTTTGAATGAGCATTTGTTTAGATCCCAAAAAAACCTGTACTAATGCAGAGCAAATCGAAGATTGATTAACTTTGGGTAAAATTGGATAAAATATCAGTTATCTTGTATTCATTTAATTGTTGCTTTACGTATATAATATCTTTGCTGTAGCTTACACTGAAACAGAGGCTTTAGACTCCAGTGTGCTGTATCTGTTGGATTGGGGAGGTCAAAGTGGGGAAGAGAAGAGAGATAATAGAAGGAAAGTTAACAGTAAAAGATTTTTCCAACAAATTGTTTTTTCCCATTAGTAGCAGCCTGTAGATTTTTGCTGTTTGTCTTCTAAAAGGGTCTCTCTCTCTCTCACACACACACAATACAATGTTGTCCACAGGGCACATCACCAAAGTCCTTCTCTTGATGATGGTGATGGGCCGCACTGGGTCACCTAAATGCTCAGTCAACATAAAACTCTAAAGCAGAAAGCATTTTCAAATGGATTAAATTTATAGGTATAACGCATGGCTGAGGAACACAGTAAAACTAACCAAGCTTTCCAGGGATTGAAAATGTAATTCAGATTTCTTTTTTGAGAGCTATAATTTAACACAATGTTATCCAACAGAAAGATAATGCAAGCCACACACATAATTTTAAATTTTCTAGTAGCCACATTAAAAAAGGTGAAAAGAAACACATAAATGAATTCTTATAGCACTTTTTATTTGACCCAATATATCCAAAATATTACTTTAACATGTAATTAATATACAATATTATTGAGATATTTTGCATCCAGTGTATATCCGATAATTCAGCACTTCTCAGTTAGGACTAGTCACATTTCAAGTGCTCAACAGCCCCTTGGCTAATGGCTACCATATTGGACAGCTGAACTCTAACACACTTACTAGACTTACCAGGCATGTATATTTCATGATCCTTCTTCTTTACAAGAGAATAGAGGAATATTGATTATATACCTTTAAAGATCATATACCTCTAAAGTAAAAGTTTACTCCAAATTAGTGACATATTTCTACAATATTTTCGTTGATATATTTGACTATATATAGTTAAAAACAACTGACTTCCTGTGTTCAGTGATTGGCTGAGAATGGTAGAAATAGCTAGACTCCAGTTGCAGCAATCATTAGCCACAAATGGCTATCTAAATTTAAGTTAGTTAAAAGTAAATTAAATTTAAAATTCCGTGTCTCAGTCACACTGGCCACATTTCAAGTGCTCAATAGTCACATGTGGCTTGTGGATACCGTACTGGACAGCACAGATATAGACTATTTCAATCATCACAGAAAGTCCTACAGGACAGCACTGGGATAGACTACTCTTTTCGTTATTAACTGCGTGGCTAGTCACTAACAGTCCAACAATATTTTGTGCCACAATTAGTCAACTTGAAGATATTTGTGTTTATATGGAATACTACTCAGCCATAAGAAACAATGAAATCCAGCCATTTGTGACAACATGGATGGACATTGAGGGTGTTATGCGGAGTGAAATAGGTCAGAGGGAGAAGGTCAAATACTGTATGATTTCCTTCATTAAGTAGTAGATAACAACAACAATAAACAAACACATAGAGACAGAGATGGGATTGTGGTTACCAGAGGGGAAGGGGGGAGGGAGGAGGGCGAAAGGGATAATTCGGCACAGGTGTGTGGTGATGGGTTGTAACTAGTATTTGGGTAGTGAACATGATATAATATATGCAGAAATAGAAGTATAATGATGTACACCTGAAATTTATACAATGTTATAAACCAATGTTACTGTAATAAACAAAAAATTTAAAAAAAAATAAATTCACTTAGAAAAAAAAGAAGATATTTGTGTTTATGGACACTAAACATCATCACAAGGCTGTTTTACAAATCTTGCAATTAAGGTGAAAATTATGAATTAAAAACAGTAACACATGTTAAAAGAGAGAAGACAAGCAAAGAGAAGTTCTTGGATCTTCTACTCCAAATTTCACATCGAGAAAAACAGAATCTAGTTTGCTCTTTCTAATTAATAATCTAATAATCTTTTTTATTTTTTTTTAAAGATTTTATTTATTTATTCCCCCCCCCC